AGTAAAAACACGCTACAGGGAGCTGGTATTCTGACATATATATAGTGGAACCCGTGCGCAGTGATTGCCTGCCATATTTAGCTTTTGAAAAAGTCTGGAGATCACCTCTCATTTGACATTGATTACTGTGCGAGTATTGTTTTGGCCACAAAGCGACCGAGGCAATCGAGCACCAACAAAGCTTTTGGGTGAGGTTCCGCCGAGCGTCTCACCACCGAGCGGGAGTCCGAAAATTCGAGGAAGGGGGACTTTTCTTCGATTTATGAGGAAAGAGTCAGGCTACCGATCGAAGTCGAGGAATCGCACTTGCTTAAACTCTCTGATGAAGATCCGAGAATATTGCAGCTATGTACGTTCGAGGTCTCCTTTAGTACAGCTGTTTCGAAAAGAGTCGGCAAGGTATACATGTGGACTCCGCTACAACTTCTTCCTCGTTTTCGTCGCTTCGATTGGATGTCCGACATTATTACAATGGATTAGAAGTGGGTGTCCCTCAAAAACTCACCAACAAGAGTACAGCGGATTGCACCTAAAGCGACCTCGAAATTCGTCCGATTCGGCAAAAAAGTCATGACCAGGGTTTGGTGGGCCGCCATGGACGTTGTTTGCTTAGACATGCTTCTGCATGGCGAAGCCGTCACGGCTGAGTTCTTTCACTCCAAACTACAAAAGGTTGACGAAATTTGTCACAGTGGGCAGAGAAACATCTATCTGCTTATATTATAAAAATGCTCCTCCGGGCAAAACTCTAAAATGAACCAGAAAAGTCTGAGCTTTGCTAAGAGTTCCATCCAACGAACCTTATCCTCCTCCTTCTGACTATACTTTTTTGAGCCCCAATCCCGAACCTCATTGGAAAAGGCTTTGAGTTTGAGGGCGAACTGGCACTGAAAGGCGACATCGGTGCCTTCTTTGTCTCGGCCGTCCTCGTATTGTGTCAAAGGCAGTAGCGATTTGCCTAGGCGCTGGCAGGCTTTGTTGTACTGTGTTGGCCAGCATCTATCCGAATAGATCTACCTTTGTGAAAATATGAGGAAGTGAAATTCGGCTGAAAAATGTATCAAAACCTATTGCACACCCGATATTACACACATATACTCGTTCTTGCGGAGAGGCTTTCACGTGGCACATGTGACGATAGCCTCGGTAAAAATGTTGATGTCATATGTGCTCTTTGACGCTTTTGATGCTGATGTCAATTGATGCCACATGCTGAGGGCAGGATGCTTTTTCTTTTGGAACGAAAAACCTCTCAAGACGGCTCGCTGAAGTCTTGCACGGCTAATCCTCTGCATTTCTACCTTTTCGAGACAGCTCTCGAGCAAGCACGCATCCTTCGTCAACACAGTTCTAGACGTTAAAAGCCTTTTTTCAAAGGACTTCTCGTCTGCGAAAAAATTGCAATTGCCCTAGGTCCGCAAATACGGCTGGCTTCACGGCGTGAATCAGAGTGTACCAACCCAAAAGAAGAAGCTTTGATGTTCGATGGGGTCCTACTATTTCTTACTTTATAGGTAACTGGTAAATTCCAATCCGGCTACAATCCGTTCACGATTGGATGTATTGGAAATATACGGCGAACGTTGTGCGGTAGTCAATTTCCATCGTAAGTGCAGTTACAGTAATTGCAATACGCTTTCTTTTCTAGCAGAATTTTAGTGTTTTCATTCCTGTGCAGATTTAGCTAGCTGCATGTCTATTCATTGACAGTTTAAGGTTCACAAAGTATGAAGAAGCCGCTGCAAAACGAAGCCGAAAGAATCGTTCAGCTGTGGAAGATGTAAAAGTGAATGGTGCAATGAAGAAAGGGGTAAGTTATTGAATAATTCCAATTTCTTAGATTGGTTGTATATGTTGTGTGAAGTCTTCGTTTCTAGTTTTCATAGTGCTTTCTGTCCAGTTTTGAATAGTTTTCATCCTTGTAGGATACGGATGAAGTAGACGAAACAACTGTGTTATATGTTCCGGATAAAGATGGAGTGAAGGATGGTCACATTCGAGTAAATTTTGTTTTAGCTGTTTTGAAATGTCAACATTTTATATCAGAAATCAGTCTTAAATTTCTAGTTGAAACAGCTACGACTGGCTGACAGCCAATCAGTTGGAACGTCGTTGTCATTGACCGGAGCAGACCCGCCTTCTCAGCGAGAACGCGATGGTTCCACATGCAACTTGTTTGATTCAGCTCAAGGTTTGTGCTTTTCCTTTCTCATGCTAGGAAAGAATTTGTAATGCTGACGTCACATTCGAATCGCTCTCTTCATTTCTAGTCGATTATGCTTCCCGGAACTTTTTTAAACTCGTATAACACTGCAATTTTCTCGTCATTAGAACGATCGCAATGCTAGCCAGTATTTTCAATAGGGTTGTCATCTGACGTTTCTCTTTCGATCCCACGGTTAGCTGTTTGTAGCATCAATCAACTAGGTATTTTCTAAGTCGAATTCACGGCTTCTGTAATATTTTTTAGTCTGGCTTTTTGTTTTGAGCATTTTCTGTTCTCATAGCATCCAGTGCCGCCTATGAATCGCGAATAGCTTCAGATCGCAATCTAGAACGCGTGCTTGCAAAGAGATTTTTTTTTGAAGGAAACGTTCACGTTTTTGCTTGATGACGTCCTTCGTATTGTATGGAAGCGAATGACGTTGAGTTAAATCAGTTTTCCATACTCTACCCGTCGTCGTAATGTTTCGTTTTTCCTATCTCACTTTCTACCTTTAACTTTCGGTGGGATTGTGGTGGTTAAAGGTCCAGGAAAGTTTACTGGTCAAAGAGGTTTCAAAAAAGCTGGCCAAAATCTCATCATTCTGACTTCTTGGGGGGCGTAATTCGAAAACGCTTCCATAAGCTTGTTCAATGGAAATTTCTTTTTTCCTGGCTCATGTTAAAGTGGGAAAGATGCATGCGCCACATTTAGGGCTCTAAGCGAATCTTTTCTATGTGCTTGAAAAAGGAAGGCGTCCAGGGCTATAAGCGCCCGTCCGTGCGCATTCGATTCCTTTAAGGTTTATTTTATTCCGAAAAAAGTTGAGCAAGGAATGAAGCTCGGAACTTCCTAATCTCCCCATCAGTTGCTCCTCTAACAGTTATAATCTCCGTCAGTGTTACAGATAGTCCGAAAATGAATAGTCCAGTGTCATCGCCGGTGTCCGATGCCTACCAGGCCAGTTTCGAGGAAGCTACTCGCGACGCTATTACTCCTCTCAAAGGTGAGGCTATAATCAGATCTTGATACATATTGACACTCCTATAGCGGAATGTCCTTTTAATTTTTTCTGTATGTTTCTTCCGTATGCAGCAGATCTTTGGCCAGAAATAGTCCTCGACTATCTGCGTTTCTTCCCCGAGCGAGACATACCTCGGCGGAGGTGTCGGCGAGAGATGCGAGAGAAAAGGATCATCATCTGCCCAGCTTCAAACAGCCCTAGGCGCAATTCTTTCACATTTAGGTTACCGCGCGCTTGATTGCTCTTACCGCTATGGCTCCGTCTTCGTTTAACACGTTGACGACACGCCCTTGTGCGCGCACCTACCCACCTTACTTTACAAATTTGCATTAACAGTTACTACATTACCAATAATTTCATTAGTGGTAACGAGAGAACTATTTTTCGTATCCAACAGTAGGAAGGGCCAGTTTTGAAGCATGAAAATGGAGGCACAATTTAGGAAAAACAAGCCTCTTCCGTGTGAAAGTGCGGGACGTATGTGTCCCGCGCTGTTCGTCAAAAGTGTTAAATCAGCCTAGAATTGTTAATCAGCCTAGAATATTCAACGCACTTTTGAGCTTCTGTGGTTTATCAAACAGCCTTTCGAGAAATTCTTGCTTTTTAGCAACACCAAACATTGCTGGACATTTTATTTTGGCAGCACTTTTTCCTGGCAGGGAAAGAAGGAGTCCTAAGTTAGGTCAGTGCAGATCACCTTAAGGGGAATTGAAGGTTGCGCTAACACATAGTTAAAGCAACAGTCCAGGCAGGGTTTCAACCATTTGGTTTTCAAGTGGTGGAAACATGCCTCAGCCTGATTGGAGTTCATGGGAAATGTCACAAACTTCAAAACTTACCTCTGAAAGGCGTTGGAAGCAGTCGAAATCCTTCAAGAGGGGCGGATCCACCGATCCGTGGTGGGGCCGCCTCCAAGCAGCTGTGCAGAGCGCTTGCTCGACTAGCGGTCGTTGCGGGACCGCCGCGCTGTATGAGGTCGATTCCATAAGAACGCAATTGAAGCGCTTCAATTTCGATTGCTGGCAAATAGTTATGTATTTGCAAGCATGCATGGCTATTTGCCAGCAGTTGCAATTGGAGCGCATGTACTACGGGCAGGTTCGGACAACTCGTCCAACACACGTCTCCCTAAACGGCAGGGGGAGTCCCTGTCTAAGCCCCTGCCCGACGTTTTTTCTACTTTTTCTTTCTCCATTGACCAACTTCTCACCTGCAACGTCATTATAGGTGGTCCTTACCCGCGAATTCGTTCCTGGATTGTTGCTTTAAAAGGAAGCGATCACGCTGGCTTCCACGCTGGATTTGCTACCCTCGCGTTATCAATCGATAAGGTGTGAGGCAGTAATTGTTGGACGAGTGTAAGCCCATGGAAGATATGATACGATGAGATAAGAAGGCGGCTGCTTGATAAGAGGTGCACTCCAGAATGAAAACGGGACGATAACGATAACGGTATCATATCTAGCACGCTCTTATCGCACCCCTTTCCACATCGATAAGTCTTGGTTTTTGCTGAACGGAAGTGGATTTCGGCGCCTTATCACTCCGTTGATAAGGCGCCACTGCCACTGAAACTTCACGTGTTGTAACACTGGGCAGGACCTCTATCCACTCCAATACATAGCTTCCCTTATCGTTCCCATGAAAATTATCGTGACCACTTCCTTTAAGGGATCTGGCCAGAAGCCATGTGGTGCGGGGAATGGCAAAATGTAGACTTAGGTCGTCCCTGTATTGGTGTTCTCAGAGGGCGGAAGTGGTGTAGTGGCAAGTGGCACGCTTACCACGCGAGCGGTCCGGGGATCGAATCCTGGGTCGTGACCAAGCCTTCCATCCCTCCGGGGTCGGTTAATTGGTACCAGACTTGTCTGGGAGGATAAAAACACTGACTTGTACATCGGCTGGCCCCCGCAAGTCATTGCCCGTTGCTCTAAATTTTTACCAGGCATCTAATGAATGGTTGAACTGGTTTCAGACGCCGCTATCGCCGCCTCACAAGTTCTCAATGGGGATCGTTCTCGTCCGCGCGGTTTCGCGGATGCAGTTCGAATTCACGATCAGCTCAGCTCACCAGCGAAATCTGTGGCGTTGTAGTGGAAGAAGCCAACGTTGGTAAGCCTCACGCTGCGTGGCAGCATTCTTTGGATGGTCCGTCTGACGATCTTCGTCGATTCGTCAAATGGATCGCGCGAGCAACGCCACACGTAGGTGTAGTGTCTTCTGGTCGGGTACCTACAGTGCTGCCTCCTGTTCTCTCTCTCTTTTCCCCAAGTCTCATTGTGAACTTATCGCCTAAATTTTTCTATTCGTTTCTCTTATGCTAAGCGCTTTTGAGCGCTGTTGAGTGTATTGGCTGAGCTGAGCGTTACATGTGTGCATGTCGTGGCTGAAGACGAGCTCTTCCTTTCTCTACTGATGGTAATTCGAACGAGTCGAAATTCTGGAATACGTCGTTGTTTTTTGCTTGTTACGTTCGTCTTTGATGATATTGAGTGTTGCGTTCTTTCTGTGCCAGTTTGCAATTTTTGAACTAACCTCTGTCGCCTCCTAATCTATTTTCGCAGTATATTTGTTCTCGTTGTGTTGCATAGGTTCCCGTATATATTTTCAATTGAATTCTGATTTTTTTTGTAATCTTCTCCGTTGTTGGTGTCTCGATAGCGGCATGTACACCGTTCAGAGTTTGTATCTTCTCTTGGCGAATTGCAGCCGACGTCAGCTGCAATGCAGCTGCAGCCAGCTGCATTGGCCGATGTCAGACTTTGCGATTGGAGCGATTTTGCACCAATTGCAGGAGCGACGGA